TTTTACCCTTATATTTGATTTATTTTATCTTCGAAATTTTTTAAAAAACCTTGAAATAAGATGTCTCAAAAATGGGGTTTCTTACTTTCTTTAGTCCTATTGCTCCGTCTAAAAGAATGTGTTTAAAGTTAAAAAATGTTAATATCCCAATTGGTTTGAATCATTGGGCTCATGCATCATGAATTTTAGCCCAACGTTTCAGGAGCGTCGCCCCGATTTTGCTACCTGATCTGATAAGTTGGATTGGTCCCAATTCCTCTCAACAAAGATCCCTTCATAGTTCATATAAATGGCCCGAAATTCGCAAGGGTCCTTGATCATACTCCTATGAGGTAAAGATCCTCATTATTTTTTGATTGTGCCCACGATCAGGAGCTCTCATATGAAAGGATCTCACCAAAACATCTTGAAAGTTCATGATTAGATCCTCCGGCAACTAGGTTCTAGAGATGGCAATGGGCCCGATATTTTCAGGTGCCCAGCCCGTCCAGTCCCGAAAAGGTTAGGCTTTACTCGATGTTCGTGGGCTTAGGCCTGGGCCTGGTTTTAAGGCCCAACCTCGAGTATGGGCCAAGCCTGGGTATGTCTTCAGGCTCGGCCCAGCCCGACAATTTTAGTATTAATTATATTAAATTACCTTATACTATATATTTAATTACAACATTGTCCTACATATATATACAATATATTCATTTTTCTCAAACCCTACATCGATAGATGGATGCATTTTGTGGAAAGTTATTTATGTATTTGATGAGTATTAAAAAATAAATTAATATTTAAAAATTGTTTCTAGAATTAAAAATATAAAAAAAATTGAAATTTATTAATATTTAAAAATTCACATTATAAAAATAGGTGGGCTTGACCCGGGCCTGAGGTTACAAAAAATCCATCGGGCCAGGCTTGAGCTTTACCTATCATACCCATGACGGGTCCAAGCCGGGCTTAGGCCTTTGTCATTAGGTCGGGCTTGGGCTTGAGCCAAGGGGTACTCGGTCCCGACCCGACCCATTGTCATCACTACTAGGTTCTATTATTGGCCCGACTCCTAGCGACAAACAATAAGAAATATATTCTCTCAAATAAAATATTATATGTGCAAATCACCTTTCCACACAAATTTATGTGAATAATATTTATATGAATGGAGGAACGAAAACTAAAAATAATTAAACAATTTCACATAGAAATAATACTATACATCTCAATTTTCTTATTTTAATCAATTTATTTTCGACATATAACTATGAGTTGATCATGATCATGTTATAAACGAAATTAATGCAACATGCAAAAATATATTTAAAATGAGAAATTATAAAAACATGCAATAATAATAATTTACATCTATTTACATTATTACAAGAGAAACAAATCTTAAATATAAAGTTAATTTCTTAATGCCGATAAGAATGTGATGTAGAATGTCTAGCAGATGAATTTCTAGAGACGGATGAGCGTTAAAAACCAAAACACACGGTCCAAAAAATCTTAAATCTAAAATGGACATGTCAACTTAAAACAATTATAACTTTTGATCCAGAAGAAGTCACAGTGCCCATAAAATATCAACGGAAAGCTTGTTTCGAGGCCGACAACATGGTAACTGGATATCCCAATTGGGGAATCCATAGTTTTGATGTGTTTCGGGACAGTTTAAGTTTTATGTGTGTATTTCCTATTCAGTAATACTACACTTACAAACCATTCTCACTAACTTTCTCTCACAAACGCGACGTGTCAGCTCGTAATTGGTCAGCTCGCAATGGGCCATGTCTGACCAATTACGAGCTGCTATGTCAACGTTTGTGAGAAGTATTTGTCAACCTATCTTTATTATTTCTTATTTTATTTTAGGATTTCTTATATATATATAATTTAGATTTTATTTCCTTCTTTATTAGGAGTCTTGTTATGGTTGGTTGTCATCTTATATAAACTTATTTGTTTTTGGATATTATTCAATAATTATTCAGATTTTATCTTTAAATTTTATGACTTAAGTTTACATTAGACTTATTTACCAATCCTAAAGGTATAATAGATTGTTATCCTTTTTGTTACGCTAACATGCTGCCTTAGAATATAAGAAATATACTTAAAAATCACGCGTAATTATGACATAATTACTGTTAACCCTATCACCTTATAAACATGTAGAAACTAGAAAGTTGGCAAAACACAAGCCGATGGATTGACACCAACATGTTTAACAACATCCTCTACGTGTAATATCGCCATGCATAATTGTCACTTCCACCACATTGCTTTGCCACGTGTCCTGATCATGAACGTATATAATATTATAATTCAACGACTGACAGGAAAAGAGGCAGGTTCATCTTCTCCCGAATAATATATTACTACTTTTCTATACGTTTTAGAATTTGTAGTACAAACTTGATTCTGTGGATACCATATCTTGCATGCGTACGTAGGATAGATTTAAAAAAAGTGCATGAACTGCCTTAATAATAATAATAATTTATAAAGCGTTACGCCCATCCACACGAACTTTATTAGTACTTTTAACTTGTAAACTCAAAAGATGATACCTTGCAGAGATTAAGAAAAAAAAGACATTAATATTCAAAGTTTGTTGGATCTCTTCGACACATCTCAACAATAATTTAACAACATTTGTATAACTACCATAATTTCTATTATAATATATATTCAGGTCAACTCCATAGACGATAATGACTATATTGGGTAAGCCATGCATGTACAAGTAAATCACCCAGATGTGTGACAAGTAATTGTTTCAACAAGTATATTATGTAAGCACAAATTAAATTATGGAGGAGATGATTTAAAATATAGAGGGAAATTTGTTGAGAATCTATATCTGTATGATCAGAATGAGTACCTTATTTGTTTATTAATTAGCTAATTTAAATACGGGCATATATGTGTCGTCATGGTAAAATCTTCTAAAGCTTATCTGTAATGTTTGGATAAGGAAATGTCTGTCTCTAGACAACAAACAGGGGGGCAAAAGATTTAATTAATCAAGATTTCGATTTACATGATAAATCACTTTTATAATCTGTTAGTAAACGCTAAAGAAACACATGTAATCAAGACGTTATAGTAATGAAATGGCTAGTAATTGTAATTCTATATCTAAAATTAAAACAGTTGTTCATGTTCTTCTAGAGAGTTTTCTGGGAAGACAATAAAGAAAGGTGAAAATGTGGCACAAGCAAGCTGAAGAAAACAGTGTTTTGACAATAGGGCAAATCTCAGTAGATAATATAAAAGCATTTGACCATTGGCTGTATTGTTAGATAGAGTTGGATGAAAAAAACACCAGATTTTCAATGACTTTGAATTCAATCTAAAAATAAAAAGCTAGCTTCATATATGCGTCTGCAGAAGAAGGAAGGAATACACTTGTGCCTATAATGGACAATTGTCACAGAGAAAGGAAAGTAACGAAGATAGTTGACTTTATTGGTTGGAAGTAGAGAGGACACCTGGCATCACATGCTACGTGGTGAGATTTGAATGGTTTAAAGCAACCTAGTTCCAGCTTGGAAAGATTTGCACTTTTCGTTCTGTAGAAATCCACGTGTTTCTCAGTAGGTGACACAACAATATCATATAATTATTTGCTTTACCAGAGAACATTTGGAAATGCACAGTGAAGTTTCCTGCAATCGATTCAGACCATTTTTTTAAACACATGTTGAAAAAAAATATATTTGAAAGCATTGTGAAAAGACTTTCCCTGTTGACTATACAATCAAATCAAGCTTTATGTCGATTGTGAATTTGTGATACATTTTCAATTTGAGTTTGTATTCGAATACAAATCTTATATAGGAAATTAGATCATGAAAATGATCTTATAATCTTTTAATATGTGAAATAGTAATAATAATGAATATGCATGATGAAGCGTAAATTGTAATTAACCATATTTTTTCCTCATAGCATGTTCAAATTTATAACGTATTCTACATATAGTCACAGAATGATTGTGATTTTCATGATAGTTATATATATATTAGTTGTTGCAGCTAATCATAAGACCAATTAAGCTGATGACTGACAGCTAACATAGATAAAGCCTTGAAGGCAAATAAATTCAAAATTTTGGAGAAAAAAGACAATAGAACAGTGGAAAAACTTTTCCTTCTTGATAAGGATTAAGGCGGGACCTGCCTACCTTACCGTCCAATTTTCTCACTGTGGAAATGTAAAAAAGAAAAAAGTCAACCCCAGAGGATTGCTGTTTTTGTATCACTGTTTTGGTCAATCCGAAAGCACAATTAGTTCATGTTCAGTCTTTTTTCAAGTGTTAAATTCAATTTAATTTGCTAACTTTTTTTTTTTTTTTTTTTTAATTTTTTTTTACGATAAGTTCAATTCAAAACCGAAGTGAACTCATACCAAATTCATAAAATGATCAAGAATAAATTTAACTCATTCCATATAATAATAACGAATATACTTCATTCAATTTGCATGGATAATTTATTTCGAACTCCAAACTTACGAAATTGAATACAAAGGGCAAATTATTAATTTATTGAAATGAATATTTTAAATGTTATTAAAGAATCTAGGCACATATGTAAAAGCTAGGGAGTGGATTAAAAGAAAAGAAACCAAGGCATGTGTTCACATACGGTATTCTAGCTTTTGTATTCTTAATTTGCTACATTTGAAAAAATGAGAAGTATATTTGGGTATAATCAACCTAACTGCGACTAAAATTGATAGCAAGAGGCTCTTAAAATTACTTTTTTATTTATAATAAGTGGGTACGTGTTGCTCTATTATTGTGTACATTTGTTATTTGTGGAATTAAACACTTCGGCACATACATATTACAAACACACATGTATTGAGCTAAATGGAGAAAATTACATACACTTGTCATGAGGACGGCGCCAAATAATTTTGACTACAACCAATACCGCACACTTCTCACCAAATCCTATAAATAGAGCTCATCTTTCCATGAGGAAGCAACAACGAATTGACAATTTGTTTCTTTCAGAGCCAACACTTTCAGTTCTATCGACTATCGATCTTGTTCTTCTATAAACGTCACCGTGTGCGTACTATTTGTAAGAAAGAACACAATGGGAAGAGCACCTTGCTGTGATAAGAATGGACTCAAGAAAGGTCCTTGGACTCCTGAGGAAGATCATAATCTCATCAGCTATATTCAATTGCATGGCCCAGGCAACTGGCGAAATCTTCCTAAGAACGCCGGTACTGATCCATCTTTCTCCTGCTTTTTTTTTTCTCACTATCAGGATTTAATTAGTTTGATTTGATGATTTTTCAGATATGATCAATTTTTTATTTCTAATACATCTTATTATTCAATGATGTAGGGCTTCAAAGATGTGGAAAAAGTTGTCGTCTTCGATGGACTAATTACCTGAGACCTGATATCAAGAGAGGAAGATTTTCTTTTGAAGAAGAAGAGACCATAATCCAGTTGCATAGCATCTTGGGCAACAAGTATGGCCATGATTTTCCAATAATTTTCAATTTTTAAAGATAATATACAGTATAAGTATAGTCAAGAAAGTATACGCATATATGTTAGGTTAGCAACTCCGTGGAAATGATTATTTTTGGAGCTCACATACTTTTTTTTTTTCCATTATAGGTGGTCAGCTATTGCCGCTCGCTTGCCAGGAAGGACCGACAATGAAATCAAAAACTACTGGAACACTCATATCAGGAAGAGGCTTCTTAGAAACGGGATTGATCCTGTGACTCATGCTCCTCGCCTTGATCTTCTTGACCTATCAACACTTCTTAGATCAACTTTGTGCAACTCTTCACTTCTCAATGTGTCAAACCTGTTTGGTGCTCAAGCTCTCCTAAACCCAGAACTGTTAAGGCTAGCTTCTACCCTTTTATCATTAAAGCAAGAAAACCCAGAAACAGTTATGCAGTATCTCCAGCAAAACCAACTTTGCAATATTCCTCAGCTGCAAAACCAGACACCAATTACTTCCCAAGTAAACGATCAGTTTCAAACTCATATTCCAGAAGTTTCAAATTGCACCACATCTAATGCAATTTGTACTTCAAATTTTGATCAAACGCAACTCATGCAAGCCAATCTGGAAGGGCTATTGTCAAACTTGACAAACTTGAGCAGCCAAAATTTCCAAGAGAATTTGATACCTTCAAGTTTAACTGAAACTTTTGTTTCGGAACCAAATCACATGTTTTGTAGCTCAAACCCCACAATTCCTGTTACTTCTGAAGGTTCAAGTTTCCAATCACTCAACAACGGAAACCAAAATTTTAGCTTTGATTCTGTTATGTCAACGCCGTTATCAAGCCCGACTCCGTTGAATTCATCATCCACATACATCAATAGCAGCCCCGAAGATGAGAGAGAAAGCTACTGCAGCAGCTTGTTGAAGTTTGAAATTCCAGAGAGTTTGGATATTAGTGATTTCTTGTAAATTTTGTGTAAGTGCATGTGAGACTTGTAATGAAAACTATCCTTGTGAATTAGGGTTTGGTTTTGGTTTTGTATTAGTTGTTGTTGTCTTGTTGATAAGTGGAATTCTTTGTTATTTTTTCAATAACAGTTTACCATAGTCATTGTCCTATCATCATTATCATTATTATCCTTAATCCTTATTCTGATCAACACTCCATAGCTGAATGCAATGCAGAGATAGTAATTAATATTGTTTGAACCCAAAATAAAATAATAATTTACAATGGTTATAATCTGTTTGATCTTTATCTTATTCTTTGTGGAAAAGTTAGCCTTTCCCAACTTTTCTAATCCAAGTCATAGTGATCTAATAATTATTAGAGTTGATGCTGCAAAATAAGAAGAAATCAGCTGATTAACTAGGCTTTCTTGGCCCTTTGTTAATTTACTTGAAAAACTCAAGTTATAACTATTAAAAAGCTATTGTGTAAATAAATGAAATAGCCAAAAGGCAAAAGGTAAGAACGTTTTTCACATAGATTTCTTGATCGAGTCTTTGCTATTGTCAGGATAATACATTCTGCTTAAAATTTCTAATTTCCGTGACTACCGTTTCTAAGTTAGTTAATTCTGAAAGAAGCACCCCATTAATACCGGACATTTCAGCTTTATGATAAATGGGAGCCGAAAGGAAATGCAAAAAAGATTTTTCCTTTGGTTTATTTATTTTCTACAGTTCTTTTGGCGAACAATCCATTCCTCTGAACTGTAGATGAAGAAATCTATAATTCATGTTGTAGGATGGAAAAGGAAAATTGAATTTTGTATTTTTAAAGATTTGACGTATCATTTTCCTAATAATATGTTTGGAAACAAAAACACTAGTTATGTATTTATTAAAGTTTCAAAGAAAAAAAGAAAATGGTAACAGACAATAGTCCACTATTATTCAAATTTAAACTTTTAAATAAAATTTGTTTCGGATCAACGACCTTTTCTGTTTTTTCTTCTTCTTTTAATTAATATCTGGTTCTTATTGCATGATGACAGAGGCGTGCACACATGATCTAAAAACTAACAACCAAGCTGGCACTCTTATATGGCAATTCATTTTAATTACGCAATTATCTTATCATCATCTCGTCATCATCATCACTTTCTTCTTCTTCTTCTTCTTCTTTTAGTCTCGCCGCCCACGCATAAAAGGCTTTGTTGGCCGTAATCAGCTTCTCCAAAGGTCGTTTTGTCCTTTAAATTCAAAGAACAAAAAGTGCCTTCTTGTTCTTACATGCCCTATTACTTAATCCCCTATAAGGCTGTAAGTATAAAAGATCACGTGGAAATACGAATATGAAACGCTTTTACATTATGATTAGGTAAAGGAGAGAAAATAGAAGACGATATCTCATTCTCATATACTTTGGTCCATTTCATATTGGTATAGAATAGAATTGATACAAGTGAAAGGTTGTAGCTTTTGAGTAAGTCCTTATGCATGTTTAATACAATATAACCATTATACTTGTATAAATACATATGAAGTGTAATAAAAGTGATTTCGTAGAGATCTCTCTAGTAAATTTCATCGCATGACTGAAAATTGAAAACAATCCCAAGAATCAATTATCAATTAAGCACGTGACAGAGTGTTATTCTACGGATAAAATTGTAAGATCATGTTCACATATATTATCACTTGTTCTTTTATTTGTGTTTCTGAAGACTTTGTAAATATTTCTTCCATTTATAAGTTACACGTCGCCACCGGTCAAAAGAACCATAATTTGTGAAGTACAAAAGGTGCTCATCACATAATATGGCTCACCAACCGGATGACTCTTTTGATATATGACAAAGAGAGTGACATTAATTTCTCTCATTATTTAGCTTATGGGACCAAAATTAGAATCATTTGAAAAAGATAAGAATCAAATCAGAAAAAGAAACGGAATAAGTCGGTTTGATGCCAGAACAAATAAGGTCTTATAACTGATCTTGTTCAACCATATTTGATTACTTATTCTTTAATTTATTGATTCACTACTAAAAATGAATTAAACTCTATTTTAGGTCAAAAAAGTACCACTCATATTTGATTATTCTTTCTTGGCCTGTTTTTTGGCCTGGCTTGTACTAGTTTCATTTCCCTGGTCAAATTGATTGCTTGTCTGAAAGGCAAAAGAAAAAAGAGTGGCCTCAATAGATCAGCTACCAATAGTTAGTGATGGATGATGGGACACATATTATTGCTTTACGGATTAAATATCAAATAGAATTGCAAGGATAATTAAATTCTTAATTACTCTTATACATGAATTCTTTTTAAAATTGATCGTTATTCAAAATAACCCAAACTTGCCGAAAATCAACCTATTGTAACCTTCCTTTAAAGGCTAATATAAATCATAGATTAAAGAAAGAATTAAACAGTAATTTTCATGTAAATTGGAGTTTAGAAAATAGGATTGCCCATTTAGCATTACTCCTTGGTTTTTAATGGGCCTGGAGGCCATGACCCATACAGTTTGCGTATACATAATTATCTAATATTGAAGATAAAGGTTTCCGTCAACATTATCTTCTCGATGTCTATAATTATAGATTGTGACATAATTGTCAACTTTTAGCTTAAATTATGAAAACTTTTGAAGATCCTTACAAGGCAACCATAAAGTGAGAATAATTAAGCAATGCATCTTTTGCTTTTGATTACCTTATACACTTGGTTTGCTTTAATCTTAAAAAGAAAATGTTTATCATCCTTTTCATATTACTTTTCTTCCTATTCCTTTTCTTTAACTTGTAATTTTCAGTTTCATTATCCCGTAATCACCACTCTTTTGAAGATTAATTAAGACCACCTACTCAAAAAAACTTAATTATATGGCTTTTCTTGATTGATTAAAGAAGTGGGAAGCCTTCAAAGGATGTGTACTTGCTGATTGTAGAATGATTAAATTTCTTTCTTCTCATATATGGGACCAAAATGAGATTCAATTTTTGCTTATAAATTTGTGGACTCTCTATTCAATAATTATATCGCGGCTGCAGAGAATGGGGAACCAGATACTATTTACCAAGTCATTTTATATATAAAACTACATGATAATATATCATTTGATAGTGCTGTTTCCATCTAGAACCGCAATGAGGCCAGTAATCACTAGAGGGAAAGGTACCTTGATGATTTGCATTAATAATTCTTTTGTCTCCATTCCATATTAATTTTAAACTGAGACTGAGTGCTCATTCTTGTGCTAGATCAATGCTTTTGCCAAAATAAAATGCAGGATTTGCTTATATGATTGGATGGTTGTAGGGCTTTGAAAAGTTAAATAGCGACTCCAGGAAAGTCCATAATGCAGTCTTTCTTACCTACTACTTTCTATCATTCAAAATTATGTTCCTTTTAGCATGATTGATGGTTTAATTAAGACTTAAAAGTTGTGCAAAAGTTATGTGAATTTCACCAAACTCTTTCTTTTCACCTCTTCCACCAAACACACTTCGCTTTAAGTAATGAGAAATAACTAGGTCAATGACCTCTTCATTGTTAATTTTGGTTTCCTATGTTTGTAAATGGGTATTTTAAAAATTCAAGATATTAAGGTAGCTTTTCTTTATCAATTTAAAAGCTCCAAGTCCCTTTAAATTTCGTGAGAGCACTAGTAACAAGATACTTTTAAGTCAAGCGAACTCTTCATTCTAACATTCTAAATTCTTTAATTCAGATGAATCAAATTCCCCAAGTAGGATTTCGACCTACGACCAATCAGTTAACAGCGACCGCTCTACCACTAAGCTACTAAGGATAGCGGGAGATTCTATCTCATAAAGTTCAATTTCCATTCTCAACCCATGACCAATATGAACTCAAGTTTCCTTCGTAACTCCGGAACTTCTTCGTAGTGGCTCTCCATGCCTCGTTTCATGGGAACCTCAAAGCGCTCTATTTCATTATATTCGTCCATATCCATCCATTCATTTAATATCCCTTGGTGTCATTGACATAAGATGTCGTTTCTAGTATATCTGTTTCTATTTCTATATATGCAAAGTTCAAAATTCATCAAAAGTTGCAAAATCACCATAAATAATCCAAAATTGAAATAGAACAGAAAAAGGGGAGGTTTGTGATGATTTTTCAATCTTTTATACTAGGTAATCTAGTATCCTTATACATGAAGATAATCATTCATCGTCGTGGTCGAACTCTATTATGGATTTCTGACCACACTTCTCCATAAGGCCTTCTTATCTCTTCCTTCTCTGAGCTCGGGTTATGGAAAAAGAGAAGAAGAATCGGAGAAGTGTATCACAACAACTGGTTTTATTAGGATAGCTCATGATTGTTCATATCGATCTATTATGCGCCTCTGCATCTAGCATTGGGTAGACCTCATACAATAACTATCATAACTCTACGTATCTTTTGTTTCATTTCTTCTGGAACGTTCACAAACACTTTTTGATTTGGATCTACTATCAGAAATTCAATGTGTAATCTTAGCATTCAATGCGTAATCCTAATAATCTCATTTTTTAATTATTCAACCATTTCATTTTACCAAGTTCATGTTAGCCAGATTGCAAATTTCTATGTTTCGATGAAACAACAGTGTTATTTGTAACAAGTAGTTTTTTGGTTGGTTAATTGGTCACATTTATTCATGAAATGGGTTGGATTGGTATTAGTTTGGATACAACAAGAATTCTATTATTCTAATGTACTTATTCGATCTAATAAGTACCTGGTGTCAGAATGAGAAATTCTATGGCTCGAATCTTTAGTATTATCTTATTTATTACTTGTATCTACTATTTGGCAGAATACCATCACCCATTTTTACTAAGAAACTGAAAGTGAAAGAATCTTTGAAAGGCAAAAAGGGACGAAAGTGCGAATAACGAAGGGAAATAGAACGACTTTCAAACAAGGGGACTAAACAGGAACAAAGGTATCCCGGAGAGAATCTTCTCCTTCCCTTTTTTGGAAAGAAAAGAGGATCCAGACAAAATCGAGGAAACAGAAGAGATCCAGTGAAAAAGGAAAAAAAAAAAAAAAAACAAGTATAAATTTCACTTTCACTTTAAAGAAACATGAGATAAATAGCCCAGTTTATGAAACTTCTATCTGATGGGAATCAAGAAAATGTGAATTTAGAATAG